TTATATAATGGGGGGGGGGAATTTCTGCCCCGGGCGCCCAGAACTCTGGTTACGCCACTGGCCCCGGGCTGCACATTTGAATGACAACCTCCCTCTCCTGAAGAAGCGCCCCTAAGCGTAAAAAAACGTTGAGAGAAAACTAGGCTCCTCCTCTGTTAAACCTTCAATAACGCTGTATCATGTCAAATTACCAACAATCATGTCTCTGTTAAGTCTGATTATCTAATCATGTTAATTATGTCTAATCATGGCTTTCTACTATCATGCATTGTTATTCTATCAATCATGTTATTCACATATATTGAAGGACAGAACAGAAATGGAGTGAGATTTTCAGGGAGATATACAATCATGTTGTCATTTTTTACATTTTTTTTTCTTGGTGGGGGGCTCGGGGGGGGGCCTAATAAAATGTTTGCCCAGGGTCCGATCAATATTAAAGACGGGCCTGGTTTATCTGCAAATAAACATGTCCATATGTGTATCTTTGTTAGGAATACATTTTCTCAAGATAGTGTGCAACTCCAAGGTAAAGTAAATCATTATTTCTGTCTGCTTGTTATATTTTTGTTTAGCAAAAACAGGAAAGCCATACACTTGTACCTTGATTCTGTATTAATCTGAACAGATTATTGGTCACAATAAGTGTATGTCAATGAATTCTGCCCCATCCCCACATATGGAAACATTGCACTTGCTTCCTTTAGGAATCTGTGAAATACTGTACCTTGACATCATCATATGTTTGTAGGTGGCTGGCATCAGACTCTGTTGTGCTATACACAGAAAAAAAAAAAATTGTATTATAAATAATAAAGTGCATGCATTAGGGCAATCATCCATATCTTTTCTTCCCTTCTTGGTGAATCACACAGAACAGGTATCAGTTCACCTCCTATACAGTACATATGCATCTTCTGTGCACATTACTAAGAAGTAAAGGAAGGATAGCGGTGGCAACACCAGAGCAAGGTTTAAGTCTCAGAGGAAGTTTATTTTTGGTTTATTGCTATGGATTAATTTGCTAATTGTTCTTTGCCTTAATAAGCCCAGCAGCATTTCCTTCTTTCTAGCCTGATGTGGGTCCCAACCATGTAATTTAAAATTTTAGATCTCATCGCTTCATTAAAACCACTTGCTGACTGCGGTGTATACACCCCCTTCCTGTCCAGGCCATTTTTTAGTATTTAGCGCTGCGGTACTTTGTCTGACATGTTTTCCGTCATGCAACGATGTACTGAAATTAATTTTATACCATTTTTTTGGGGACAGATAGAGCTTTCTTTGGAGGTATTTATTCACCACTGCGGTTTTAATTTTTTTACTATATTAAGGAATTTTTTTTTTTTTTTTACATTATCTTTGGAAACAATTATTATTACCCAATTTTTTGGTAAAATATAAAAGACGGGGTCACGTCGGGTAAATAGACACCAAACATGTCAAGCCTTAAAATTGCACGCACTCGCAAAATCACAAAAAAACTACCATACCCAAAATTGACCATGGGCGACGCTTTAAAAGCATTTACCGCTCATCAGTTTAGTGTTATCATTGATTAATGGCCGTAGAATTATTGCTCTCACTGCGATGTTCGCGGTGATATCTAACATCGCCAATAACAATCGCCATTTCCGCACGTATGCGCACCCAACGCATGCGTGTATGTATGGGTGGGGACTTTTAAAAAAAAAGTTTTTTTTTAAATTCTTTCATGTGTGACTTTTATTTTTATTTTTTTCCTATTTTTTTTCCACTTAAGGTTATTGTTATCACAGAGGGGGGTAAGAAACCCTCTATGTGATAGCAAAGAGGTTGTGACAGGTCCTCTTTATGGAGACATCAGGGGTTTCCAAGACCCCTAATGTCATCTAGGGACACTCAAAGAAGCTGATGAAGCAGACATCTGCTTCATCAAGCTTCTCTCCAGCTTCTGAAGCCTGAGAGTGACACAAGAATGCGGAAGTGATGTAATATACATCACTTCCTGCATTCCGACAACAGAGAGAGGGGATCAGAGGGCGATCGTGTACACGATGGCCGGCCGGGAGGTGGTTAATAAATGTCTCTATCTCAGGACTGGTCATTACTGTACACTGTGCATGGCAGATAGCTATTGTGAAGATGAATAAACCAGCCTGCATAGCAGATGTTTAGCATGACCTGTGCATGTGCAAGTGCATAGTTCTACTAAAAGATTTATGCATAGCCATGTATCTGTGCGCAGGCATGTCTATGTGCACGTCATTATTCATGCCCATGCTTTTAGCAATCAGGATATCTCCCATTGGGAATTTCTCACCTCAGTCCTTGTCTCTGTGTCACCAGGACAACATATAGGCTTGCCTGGGAACTACTGGAGCACAGTGAGTCTGAGATTGTGGGGAACGGGGGCATACTGTCGCATGACTGTGGGATACAAGTTAAAAATGCAGTGCGCCGCATATATCTGGTGACCTGACAACTGGTGGAGGAATATGCAAGAAGCAGCAGAGGTAGAGGAAGCAAAGATCCACATGTCAGTCTTCAGGTACAGCTTCCTCTCAAGCAAGGAGAACATTAGTCACATTGCCAAATCACACTCTGAATCTTGTAAGACTAGCAGCACAGTGCCTCTCACAATGCAGGTAGACAACCATGAGGCTGTAGGCACAGGAGTACCTAGACAAGTGCACTGGTTTTGTTTTACAGAAAGAATTTAAGATTTGTAAGGGTACTATTTAGGCACAAGTACCATTTACAGGTGTTCCCTATAACAGCGCAAACCATTACATATGAGTTTAGGTTTACTTTAAATGTAAGTTATGCAAAGTAGTTCTGAAAAGAGCAGCTGTAAAATGTGAACTCCAGCTCCAGAGCCCTGCCCTATTCTCACTGCAGGTCCGTTTAAGCCCTAGAAGCTCCGCTCCAGCGTATCTAAAGAATGTGATCAGCTCTACTCCAGCTCCAGGCAATGGAGCCAGCAGCAAGCTTCGGAGGCCTGCCAGACCTACTCTATTTGTCCTGATGAAACTGGGACTAAAAGTGAGAAAAATCCCAAATTTTGAGTTGTCACGGAGACGGGAACAGAGGGGGAAACATCCCATGGGGACACAAAAAAAATTGAAGACTATTTGCTTATGGTTATTTGCATCCAAGATCAACTTCAAATTCAATTCAAATGTGTTCACCAATTGTATTATACAATGTTCCATTAATCAATTATGTTAAATATTGTCATGAATTTTAGTCTTGTTTGTCTCAATCCTATACTTTTCTTTCCTTCAAACATTAACAGCTCCTTCTACCCCAGCAGCCTACCAGCTGATTTCGCCCGATTCTCGTACGAGAATCGAGCAGTGTATGGGCACCTTTAGAAAGGTTGGCTCTGCGTTACTGCAACACATCCACACTAAATGTTTCAACTGCTACTGTTCGATGCCAACAATACATTTTTCAATGAGGATCTTCTAGTATCATGTTCTAAATAGTTTCCCAGATAGTAGATGGTGCTATTCAGAAATATAAGATGGTTTATTTAACACACCCTGTCCTGCTATACAGTTTGGCAGGCTAAGGTAAAGTTTTTTAGCTGATAAATATAATGTAGGATTCTGTTATCTGCATAATACTTTTCATTAACCTGAGTGGGTAAGTGGATAGTATAAGGTAATTGGGTGGGTGCTAGTTGTGGTATGCAAATCTGTTCATTTTATTATCTTATTTGCAATGCTGCTATTTGTGGAATATGATTTTTTATATCATACTCTTTTTATCTTGAAATATAGGGTGGAAGAAGTTCAAAAGAGAAAATGGCTTCCGTTCTTGCATAAAAATACAAAATGTGTTTAATTATAAAATTACAATATGATTACAATATAAATGGCATGAAACAAAATATAAAAATAGTTATGTAAATGTATAAGCATGTTTTTGCAAAAGTTTAGTATGTTTGAGTGTAGTTGTCTGCATCGTGTCTAAGTGTGTAAGTCCCCAAGAATGTGAAAATAGGTACCTTTTCCTTTTTTGAGAATGTACCGTCCATGTGCCATGAATAGCCTTTTAGTCACAATTTAAAACATGACAGGATCCGGAACATGTGGTGCCCCACAGCTGAAATCTGAAACTCCTAAGACCAGTAGTAGGAGAGTTGGGGATGGGGGGAGGAGTGCCCCCTCCTTTCCTGCTAACCTTAACTAGAAGTTAAAATGCATCCAACTATCATTTAAACCATGTAATGTTGCATGTACCAATATAGTTATACAGAATTAAATGTACTTTCTCATATTAACAACTTAATCAAGAAATATTACAATAAAGAGATATCATTCATAGTTTGTAAACACTTAATATATTTTGATTTAGAATATTCTGCACAAAGCGCCGCCACAGTCTTCCTCAGTAATTAGAAATGGGAGCGGTTCCTTCTTGCCCTCCTTACCAACATGATTGATGAATAACATATGTGCAGCAAATAACTTAAACATATAGTATTTCATCTTTATAGGCTTAAGCAAAATCATGGACTTTAAAAGTCTGCTTGTGTACATTCCCAAACTGAACAAATGAATATATAGAAAATGAATCATCACTTACAACCTTCACAATTATACATAATACCTATATGGATAATACCCTATAAACATTATTAGTATTGTTAGGTTTCCTAACACTATTCAAACACGTATTTTTTTAAATTGCTTATCAATTATACTGGGCAAAACATTCACCTTGGAGTCGGCACACCTATTTTTTCTGATTTATGGCATTTTCTTTAAAGTTCATTAATTAGTATATTCTGTCCAGGTTATGGGGATAAATAAATGTAACATTTATCAAATAACTACAATAGTTTAGAAATATGCTGATAGAAAGAAGTCTTACCTGGAATGTGACATTTCCAACTTCATCAACTGTGGCAGCTGCTCCGCTCTGTATAAGTCCTTTCTATGACTTTGTAGAATCTCACCCTTCAGGAAAGGACAGGTTCTTCGAGTACCATTCACAAAAACTCTGAGAAAAATCAACATTCAGACTTGGGGCAGCCGTGTACTTGTGGCAAAACTGTCATTCTCCTTAAAAGGTGATTAAAGCTGTATAAAAGCAACTCTCCGGTAGGTTGGTTATGCAAAGTGAACTTTAACCCATACCAGAGAGTGAGCTGAAAGCAATTAATGTAAACATCTACACTGTGTGACCTTTACACTGTCATGCTTGCAGCACACTAAAATATATGTTAAAGTTAGCACACTGCATTAGCTGTATAGGTGCTACAAGTACTGATTATGCACTATTACCATACAATTTTATTTACCAATGAAATTACCAATTTTAATACTCCTTCATTTACTTATTTGCTGTGTACACATAACCCTATGACAATACACATAACCCTATGACAATAAATGACCCGTAATGGCCCACGTGTGGCAGGCAAAGTTTTCGCTTTTATTTCTGCCCTGAGTATGGAGAAATCTGTGTACAGAACGAGGTGATCAGCCCGGTCAGTAGGGCTGCCACCTTAACTTCAAGTGAAAAAACGAAACACTAGCGCCACACAGGGCAATTTTTTTTGGAAGAAGAATATAGTGGAGAGAGCAAGGAGAGACAGCCAGGAGAGGGAGTAAGGAGACTGGCTATAGAGGACTACAAATCCCAGCAATACTATATACAGCCAGAGGCGTCCCGAGGCTGGGTGACACCCGGAGCGGTAACCGAGTGTCATCCCGCCGAGACGTCACTGCGCATGCGCGTGACGTCACCACCCGCGTGCGCGATGACGTCATCGTGCACGCGCAGCAGTATTCTGATACCTGCCGGCGGCCATCTTGGTGATGGACGCCA